CCTCTGTTTTCTCAGTTGTAAAAAATGAGGATAATAATAGCACCTACTTCATAGTGTTGTTTTGAACATCAAATAACATGATAATTGTAAAGTGCTTAGCCCACTGCAGGGTGTTAGTAAATACTGTATAAATGTTAGCTATCATCATTATTATTATTTCTTTTGTTTTTGAAGGGGGTATTGAAGAAGGAGGCACTTTTGCAACCTTTCATTTCTTCATTTTCCTGGAAATCTCATCCAGAATACCTCTAATTTTTTGAATCTTTTACTCACCCCTGCTTATGATCCATTATTCTCTTAGTGCTTTTTTTTCCTCCTATTTTCATTGCCACTTTTTCAAAGGTCCTTCAGCTCAGCATCCTTATTCATCATTTTTGAGGTCAGCTTATCCTACCCTCTTTGCTATTGGTACTTTTCTTAGAGATAAAGGAAAAAATGTGAAAAAAGGGTCTTCTAATAAACAACCTTAGAAATAATTGAGAGAGATGTTTTTATGTTATACCTATTAAAGCAGCATTGTTCTGAGAGTTGAAAGAGTGGAGGAAGAAGGAAACTTCATTAAAAAGACACATTTTGTTGAGAGTTCATTTCTAAAGTGTTGGAAAAAAACCAATGATACCCATTTAGCTTTTATCGTTCCTGCTGCTCTAAGATGAGTACAGGGGAATATATTCAAAGTGTCGTAAGCATAAAAATAGTAGTAAAGGGATTTAAGTGTAGTTCTTTGGGGAGAGCTAGTCCTCTTTTTAATTTTTTAGGCTTTTTTATGACTGTATGTTGATTAATGAAAACTTAATGATGTGTACCATAATATCATGTAGAGTTTGCCCAATCTTAGAATTGATGTTGGTCCTTTGTAGTTGTGGTAGACTTGAGTGGGCCTTTTTTATCTAGCAACTGACAGAGGTGCAGTGTATGCTGAACTCCTATTTTTTAAAAAATAGAATGCAGTGTATACATCATGACAGACTGCATTCTTTTTTCCTCAAGTTGCAGGGATCTGACTGCCTTTTTGTGTGCATTTTAGTTCTTTTTCAGGTGAATTAAAATATCCTAGGATTTGGTTATGTGAAAACAAAATTCATATGCAGTGACCTCAGGGTAAAAGTTAAGAAGTTTATCAAAAGAATGTTACTACATGAAATAATTTTATGAATGTCACTAACCACAAAATATGAAACTTGAATATGTCAGTGTTTTCTCTTTAACTTTTGATATCTGCTGTTACAGAAGAACAGAAAAAAACGTTGTATGTAACTTGTGCCCAGTGTAGATTTTTTTTTTTAAAGATTTATATTTTTCAGAATCATTTCCTTGCTTGGACATCTGAATTCTGTGTTAGTGTTCTCTTCTCCAGTTTAATTTCCGTGCTAACCACCATTTAGACAAATACTGACTTCCCAGCCAGTGTCCACCTCTGGCTCTTGGATGCTTTAGGTTGTACCAGCTGGGTGTCACTAATACAGTCTGTGGTGAACTTCACGGTAGCTTGGGAACACTTGGCTAGATGGTAATGAGGAATTTGACCAAAATTTTGATGGTGGTATAGAGAATAGGGCAAGAGCCAGTCAGGGATGACATTGTGACTCTGGCTTCCTGTTTACCAGCTTTACTGTCTGTCAAGGGAGGGGGTTGAGTCAGTTTCAGGGTAAGAGCCATGAAAGGGTAAGCACTATATTTCACAGTCTGTGCTTGTACCACCACTTTAGGGCCTGCTTTTAGGTTAACTGCCCTTCTCTCTCACCTCCCTTCATGTTATACCCCTCTTGACTGTCTGCAGGTGGCATGTGGTTGTGGATGGAGATCTGGACTTGGAGCCAGTGACCATTGGTTCCTGTGCTTCCTCTGACAGCTAGCTTAGTGACCTTTCAGAGCCTTAGTATATTCACCTGGGAAATGGGCATTCATAATACCTGTAGTAACTATTTCACAAGGTTGCTGTGGAATTCAAATGAGATCATAATGTATATACAGTTTTTAAAGTGCTTTATCTTTTTGTTTGTTTGTTTGTTTGTTTTTGGCTAGGCAGTGGGGTTAAGTGACTTGCCTAGAGTCACACAGCTAGTAAGTGTTATGTGTCTGAGGTCGGATTTGAACTCAGGTGCTCCTGACTCCAGGGCTGGTGCTCTATCCACTGCGCCACCTAGCTGCCCCTAAAGTGCTTTATTAAGACCTATTGTTATTGGTAGTCCTTTGGAGCTGTTAGATATTTCATAGTTTTCAGGCAAAAATGAAAACCAAAAAACTAAAGTACTTTTGGACTTTAAATTTAATGTACAAATATACATATGTGTGGGCAGCTCGGTGGCACAGTGGATAGAGTGCTGGGTTGGGCCTGGAGTGAGGAAGACTCATCTTTTTGAGTTCAAATCTGGACTCAGATACTTACTAGCTATGTGATCCTGGGCAAATCTCAGGGATGTTTTGCTGTTATTAGTAAAATCCAAATCGTAGGTGATATTCAGCTAACCATGTCACTGACACTGGACCAGCCCAGTGTGTGGGTGTAATAGTCAGTGCTTGTGTGTTGTGATTGCAAGGATTCTGAAAAGTCCTTTCTCTTTCCAAAGATGGCCCACACCACCTTTCAATGCATGAAGTTACTGATGTCAGCTTTAGGTTAACTAACTACTATTAAAATGCATCTCCGTTACCCAGGAGATAAAATGTGCACCGATAGGCTCAAATCAAACTCTTTAGAAGAGAAATGGTTAGACTGCAGCTAATCTGAAAATCTGAGGGTTTTAGTGGACTTTATACTCAGAATGAATCATCAGTGTCATATGAGAGTCAAAAAGCTCATGTCATATTGGGCTTCTTTAAGAGTGGAAATAAGCTTTGGGGAATAAGGAGGTGATGGTCCCAATCTATACTGCCTTGGGGAGCTACAAGTCTGGAGTATTGTATTGAATTTTGTGTAACATGGTTGGAGATTGCCCAGAGAAGGTGCAGCTAGAATAGTGAATAGAATAGTGAAGGCCTTTGGGTTCAAGGATCAGTAGAAGTAAGTCAGGAGCTTTAGCCTAGGAAAGAGAAAAGTGAGCAAGGACGTTCACAACTCTCCTTGTATTCGAAAGGTTGTCACGTGGAAGAAGCATTAGATTTGTTTTATTTGGCAGCAGTGGGTGGAAATTGCAAAGAGGCAAATTGGGGTTCTATAGCAGGAAAAATTATCTGATAATTAGAGCCAAAAGTGGAGTGGGCTGCTTCAGGAGACAGGGGACCAAGCAAAGATGACCAGTTCTTTTTTTTAGGGGGAAAATTCTTTTTCATTGTGTTAGGGGTCTGTCTAACCCATCCTTTCAACTTTGAAATTATGTGATTTGCTTGGAGTATATATTAGAACGGATTAATTTCTCAGATTAGCTAACAAAGGGTAGGACCCAAAGATAGCAGATTTTGGTAATAATTCACATAGCTAGGACTTTAAAGCTAACAGAGTGCTTCCCCCCACCACAACCCTGTGAAATAGTCAGTGAAGGTATCCTTCTCCCTGTATTAACAGATGTGGAATTTTTCTGGCATCACACAGCTCGGGATCAGCTAGGCTAGGATAATGAACTCAGGGACCAATTTTCTTTGCATTGTAGAATGCTTACTCTTGATGAGTACAGGATCCAAACATGAAAGTTATCTAGGGAAGTCGGATTGGGTTTGGGTACAAGGGCAGGGACAACAACAAGGGCCACTGCATTTGTAGGTCCCTATGGTGAACTTTCCCTGCATTTCAACAGTTTTGCCTCAGGTGAATCATCAAGTGTCTACCATGTGTTTGGAAAGTGGGTAGTTCTACCATTAGCTCCTTGATGTCGCTACCCACCATTTGGCTAATGTTAACGTTAGCTTGGAGAATGGTTGGAACAAATCTTTTCTTCTATATGACAGAATATCCCTGTTAGTTTTTCTGATTGACGTTAGCTGGCAAATCTTGGTATATAGTTCTTGGCTTGGATTATGACTCATGTCTTTGTTTTTCAAAGTTTCCTGGGTTTTAATAACAGGTGTAGTAAATATGGCATGTCAGACTGATGCATTAGATGTCGTTAAAGTACAGTCACATTTCTCATTGTGAATAAATCTTTTTTAGAGTAAGTTCAATCTGTAGAACATGTCTAAAGCAAAAATGCTAATTAGCCATAGGCAATGTAGCTATTTAGAACTTGGAGAAAGTATTTGGGTGTCTTTTCTTGGTTTGTGAAGCACTTGAAATATCCCCAGGTTCATTATCCATTGAACCCTCTAAACAACATTGGTTGACTTTCAGTAAGTATTTAATCATTATCTCACTGTGAGTCAGCCACTGCCACCAGTGGTTGGATCGGATTAAATGAATTCTAAGAATTGTTTCTTCATGCTTTTACAGCTTTGCTCTGTCAGATGAAGCATACAGATCCCTGAGAGACCAAGATAAAGACCAGTGTATTCTTATTACTGGAGAAAGTGGAGCTGGGAAAACAGGTAAGATCATTCTGCAACTTTTTTTGTCCCCTTTCATTCTTGAAGAAGGGAAATAGTAAACAGAATGACTGTGATAAAGGAAAAAGATAGGGGACAAGTTAAGTTAAGGTTGTGTTCTGTTTATGTAGGAAGATATAACATCATTTTCCTATTGTGAGGTTCTCTTGTGTTAGCTCAGCAAACAGAATCATTGGATTTTGGAATTGAATAGAACCTCAGAGGTCATCTGATTATACAGATGGAAAAACTAAAGTCCAAAGAATGAGACTTACCTAAGGTCACCTGAGTAGTATATGGCAGAACTAAACTTTACTTTAAATTCTTCTGCCTCCAAGACAGATGCTCTTCTCACTACGCTAGGTTCTGTGATCACCTCTATGATGAATATGGATCTGCTATTACCTTTTCTCCAGAATGAAAAAATTCATGAGTGACTGAATGACTGAAAAGTCATTTCTTAAGTGCTTACTATGTGCCAAGAGAATACATATAGAAATGGAGACAGTCCCTGTTCTCAAGGGGCTAATACTCTAATTGGTGAAGATAACATTTAAAAGAAAGTCTGGCTGCAGGGAAGATGTGAAGGGGGTGGTGGTAGGATGTATGACAAGGCCCAAAGGTCATTCGATTATATAGGTAGTTAAGATGACTGTGCTAGGGAACTGCAGGGACAACTGAGGCAGGGCAGATGGTAGGACCTGGTGGCCCGCCATCTCATCAGAAGGAATGGAATTGTTGACTGTTCTACCATCAAAGCCTAGTAGGTAGTCAATAGGCTAAGGGTCAGACAAGTGGGGAGAGTGCCTAGTGTAGTGGTGGTTCTTCCTACTTCCTGACCATTTAGGATGTGTTCTAGAATGGATAAAGGTGTCACCATAGTGTTGGCTCTTCCTACCACTGGGCTGTACTTTTCACGGGTGAATAAAGATTACTAGAAAGAATACAAGTGATCTAGACTACTGGGCAAATTGTTCAAAGGATGAGAAACCAGCACTACCATTTCGGAGACAGTGTGGTATGTTCAACGAAAGAGCATTGGCTCTAGAATCAGAGAGATCCCAAGTTTAAATGCTGCCTCAGACATTTAGTTCTTGTGTAACTTTGGGCAAATCACATGAACCTCTCTGAGACTCATTTCCCTCAACTATAAAAGTGAGGGGCCTGGATAAGATGGCCCTTTTAGCTCTGGGTCTTTGACCTCATTATTCCAGTTAAATTAATTTGGTTGATGTTGAGATTTACCAAGTAATCCCCAAATTATACAGTTCTAGGTTTTGGCTGCACATTCTTCGCTTTGTTTTCCAAAGTTGCCTGGATGCTGGTAGCAAGTATATTAACTCCTCTCTGGAAATATCTTTAAGGCAAATGCCTAATTTCCCTTTGTGATGATTTCTCTGTTCCCAAGGGATTGACATTTATCCTGTATGTTTCTTGCCAGGCATGTAATTCACCACTTCTTTATGCTCTTTATTCGGAGCATCTCATGTGATTGATCTTGAATGTGAAACTTATTCTACACCTGGTGCCCAGCTACACTGCACAAGACTCAAAACAATTGCTTTCTCTGGACCAAAGGGGAATACTTCAACAATGACTGTCAATGAACTTCCTTGATTGGAATGGTGTGGTGATGGGGAGGAAGAGGAGTAGGAAAGAAGGAGGGTAGTGAGGAGAAAATGGCATTTTCAAAACTTTTTAAATCTGTAAATTGTTGTTTTTCAGAAACTAATCTGAGTAGTCATGAGCATTTTTCACAGCCTGAAATTATAATATGCATGTAATTAAAAGTTCTAAAACAGACCAATTATGTGCAACATACTTTTTAATTTGTCTCCATTTCATTTGAGAGGCTGATTAGTTAACTATAAAATGTTTTGTTTTCACTGACCAAAGAAGAACAGCTATCACTGATATTTCATTGTGTTTCTTGAGCCCAATTATTTCGGTCACTAGAACTCAGCCAGATAACATACTTTTAAGGCCTTTTTTTTCCCTCCCATCCATGAGTTTCTTTCCTAGGACTATTTCTGGCTCACTTCACCTTTCTGATGGTACCAGACAGAGTGCTGAAAATTGTCCTAATGCCATTTCCAGTGATCCTCTCCTAGCAGTTAGTCAACAGACATTTATTAATCACCTACTATGTACCAGGCACTGTACTAAGCACTGAGGATACAAAGAAAGGCAAAAGACAATACTGGCCTTGAGGAGCTCACGATGAAAATAACTCTGAACAAACAATCTATTATACAGGGTAAATAGGAAATAATAAATAGAGGCACTAGAAGTAAGAGGGATCTGGAGAGGAACTATGAAGGTGTTAAATTATGAGTAGGTGGTCATTCTCTTCTCTTCTATCCCCTGAATAATAGAGGAACAGGGATTGGCATATAGGGATATTAATAAGCAGAACACTGAATCTGAATTCAAAGGAACCTTACAGGTCATCTGGCTCAGTGTCTTGCCCAGTGCAGCATTAGTTTCTACAATATTTCCAATAGATGGTCATTTGTCTTCTGCTTGAATAGTATTAGTGATAGGGATCTCACTTCCTAATAAGAAAGCACATTTCATTATTGGGTAACTAATTGTTAGAAAATTTTTCCTTATGTTGAGGCAAGCCCAGTCCCTTTGAAACTTCTGGCCAGTGGCCCTAGGCTTGTCATGGGAGAAGGAAGGGAGAAAAAAGGAAAGAAGGAAAAAAATTAAAGGAAGGAAGGAATTAAGTACTTACTGTGTGCCAAAGTCTGGGGCTACAAAAGCATAATCCCTGCCCTCAAAGAGCTTACATTCTAATAAGAGGACCCAATACCCACAGAAAAGTTGTGACCACTTTAGTTTGGAAGGTGACGGCGATGATGAATGGTCCAGAAATATGGCCCTTAATGGAGTTGTCAAGAAGGTGGCCCTACAGTAGGGAGTGCCATCTAATTGGAAGTGACTACTGCGTCCCCCTGGAGCCTCCTCTTCTACAGGCTAAACATTCTTACTTCCTTCAACCATGCCACATGTGAGATTCTTTCCAGACCCTTTAACAACCTGGTTGTCTCATCTAAATGTGCTGTAACTTTTCAATGTTCTTCATATAATTTGGCACCTAGAACTGAGCACAATATTCCAGTTGTGGTCTGACTCAGTGAAGATTGTAGTGGAGCTTATACCTTTTGGTATCTGGACACCACACATCTATTAATGCATTCACAAATCACGTTCGCTTTTTTTTTTTTAAAAGCAGTTATATCATGCTTCTCCCAGTGAGTTTAGGTCCAGATACTCTGAACTTGGAGAGGAAAGATCTGTATTTAGTCCTGGGTCTGCCTCTTACTAGCTGTATGATTTGGGGCAAATCACTTAAATCTCTTGATCCCTGATTTTCTTTTCTATAACATAAAAGAATTGTATTATATCATTTCTATAAGAAATGAAGTTACTTTTTTTATCTTGTTCATAAAAAACAAACAAATCCATGTTGCCTTCTAGCAGTTACAAATCTGTTTTTCTAAGGTGTCAAACGATTTAACAATCAGTTCTAGAATTTTCCTGGAATTGACATTAAACTTCCTAATCTATTATCTCAGTGATTTCCCTTTTTGATAGTTAAAATATTCCCAGCAGATACCTGGACTTGAATGCCACTTCTATTAGGAGTAACTGATTATTAATGCAACACCCAGATGCTCTGGGACAGCCAGGTGGTGTAGTGAGTGAGATGCTGGCCTTGTAGTTAGGAAGACCTGGCTTCAAATCCTGTCTCAAATACTTTACAGTTTTGTAACCCTGGGTAAATCATTTAGCCTCTGTCTCAGCCTTAGTTTCCTCATCTATAAAATGGGAATTATAATAATCACACCTACCTTACAGGGTTGCTGTGAATATAAATACTAGTTATTTTTATTATATCTAGGTGTTTTTCAGATTTAAGTACTTCTGAAATAAGCAAGCACAAAAAAAAAGTGACTGAGAGTCAGAAAGATAAGTGTTCAAGGCCTGCTTTTCACATACACTAGTATTGTGACCCTGAGGTTGTTTATGTGGGTAACTACAGTTATCCTTTCAGATTGTGACTTTCCTCATTACTCTTTCGATATATTGTGAGTCAGCATAAGAAACTAAATGGGAATTTTGGGGGAGTTTTGCCGAAGCTATGGACCACCCGTAAAGGCCAGCAGAAGACACTGAAAAAGTTCATAAACTCAGAAATGCATAAAATCTATGTATATTATTGTGTAATATCCCCCCAGATACTGTAAACACCGCATTAAAAAAAAAGAAAAAGTTTGGACTTCTTCTCTGGTACAAAGAGAGGGCAAAATGTTTACTCAGATTTATCAGATCGAGGTGGTGTTGCATCCCCTAATCCCTAAGATGTGGAAGGGATAACTGTATAAATATGGTGATACCTTGAACAGAAATAGGGAAGTTGGGAGGAGCCACAGATTGGGGGAAGGAGGGGAGAAGACTCTGAATTTCCTTTTGGATATATTGAATAGTCCTCCTTTTCCCCATCTGTCCTCTACTAACATTTTGCTATATATTGCAATCAGTGGGATCATCTCTTCCTGTCTTTAACCTCATATATCTTGTTGCCCAGAACCTACAGCTAAAAAGTACCTTTATTTTTCCTTTGGGTTTTGGCATTTTTTGCTAGGCCCATTTCATTCTGGACCCTGCCCTTCCTAGTGCTATTATCTATTGTTATATTATTTTAAAAAGTGGACTCTGCCAATTTTAATTTTTAAAAATCACCAGAGAGCTTCCTCTGTGGCCATATAATTTTTTTTCTAGCTGCTTTCCTGCTTTCTTCCTCTTGGGGATGATTCACAGTTGTAGAAAGAGAATTTCAACTTTTAGACCCTCCTATCATTCTTGCACCTATTTTGTTCACACTCTATGGGCTTTTATGTATTTTTTCTCTGGTTATTTTCATTTTGGGGGGGAGGGGTGGGGCATAGAATCTTGGTTTCATAGTATCTCCTGTGTCTAGGATTCCTTTTCTCCAC